TCAGTCACATGAACAGTCACATGAACTGTGATCATGTGACTGCCTTCCAGCCTGGGTGACAGCAAAACCCCATCTCAAAAAATAAATAATTAATAATTTTTTTTTATTTTATTGAGACAGGAGTCTCGCTTTGTTGTCCAGGCTAGAGTGAGTGCCGTGGCGTCAGCCTAGCTCACAGCAACTCAATCTCCTGGCTCCAGCGTCCTTCTGCTCAGCCCCCAAGTAGCTGGGATATGGCATGTTGCCACCATGCCCGGCTAATTTTTTTTTTTATATATATATATCGTTGGCCAATTAATTTCTTTCTATTTATATAGAGCGGGGTCTCGCTTTGCTCAGGCTGGTTTTGAACTCCGACTTGGCAATCCGCCCGCCTCGGCCTCCCAGAGAGCTAGGATTACAGGCGTGAGCCACCGCGCCCGGCCTAAAATTTTTAAAAATATAAATTTACCATGTCATCATGCTTATTAAATAATACTTTTAGTACTTAATCCACATCCAAATTTTCTTAATTGTATCAAATATGACTTTTTACAGTTGGTTTGTTTGAATCAGTATCCAAACAAATCCACACATTACATTTGGTTATGTCTCTTAAAAAGCAGTCTCCCTACTTATGACATTCGCTTGTAGAAACCAGGTTGTCATAAAGTTCCACATTCTAGATTTTACTTTGCTTTTCTTATTTTTTTTTTATTTTAGTGTATTATGGGGGTACAAGTGTTAAGGTTACATTATTGCCATGCCCCCCCTCCCCTCGAGTAAGAGCTTCAGTGTGTCATCCCCCAATGTTACACATCTTACTTGTTGTGGTTTGTATATACCTCCCCCTCCTCCCCTCACCCTCCCGACACCGATAAATGTTAACTCCCTATGTCCACTTAGGTGCGATCTGATATACCAATTTGCTGGTGAGTACATATGGTGCTGGTTTTTCCATTCTTGAGTTATTCACTTAGATGGGTTCAGCTGTATCCAGGAATATACAAGAGGTGCCATATCACCATTGTTTCTTAAGGCTGAGAGTATTCCATGGTATACATATACCATATTTTATTAATCCACTCATGAATTGATGGGCACTTGGGTTGTTTCCACAGCTTTGCAATTGTGAATTGTGCTGCTATAAACATTCTAGTGCAGGTGTCTTTTTCATAAAGTGACTTTGATCTTTTGGGTAGATTGACTTTGTTTTCTTATGATGTCATTTAAGTCTTTCCTCGCATACCTGTTTTCTTTCAACATTTTGGGCAAGAATACTTAAGAGTGTTCTTATGCATATTGCCTCACATCAGGAGGCAATGTCTGGTAGTTTATTTTCAGTGATGAGTGGGGTCCAGGCATATTTAAAACCTTACTAATACCTTTCCATCTAGTGATTTCATTCACTGGTAATTGGTTGCCTCGAATATCCACTGGGAGTGGCAAAGTGATTTTTTTTTCCCTTTGGTTTTTTTTTATTTTTATTTTTTTTATTTTTATTTTTTTTGAGACAGAGTCTCACTTTGTTGTCCAGGCTGGAGAGTGCCGTGGCGGTCAGCCTAGCTCACAGCAACCTCAACTCCTGGGCTCGAGCGATCTACTCTCGGCCTCCCGGTAGCTGGGACTACAGGCATGCGCCACCATGGCCCGGCTATTTTTATATACATATCAGTTGGCCAATTAATTTCTTTCTATTTATGTAGACGGACGGTCTCGCTCTTGCTCAGGCTGGTTTTGAACTCCTGACCTTGACAATCCGCCCGCCTCGGCCTCCAGAGAGCTAGGATTACAGGCGTGAGCCACCGCGCCCGGCCTATTTTATTTTTTTTTTGAGACAGAATCTCACTCTGTTGCCTGGGCTAGAGTACCGTGGCATCAGCCTAGCTCACAGCAACCTCGAACTCCTGGGCTCAAGCAGTCTTCCTGCCTCAGCCTCCCAAGTAGCTAGGACTATAGGCATGTACCACCATGCCCAGATAATTTTTCTATTTTTAGTAGAGATGGGGTCTCCTTGCTCATGCTGGTCTCAAACTCCTGACCTCAAGTAATCCTCCTGCCTTGGCTTCTCAGAGTGCTAGGATTACAGGGATGAGCCACCACTCCTGGCCAATTTTTCTTTTTATCATTCTTTCCACATATACTAGCTGATAATCTATAAAGAACTCTTTCTCATCTGTTAATTATTCTGCACTACATACTGGAAAGTCAAGATAAATGCTTAATTCTTTCCTTTATTGGCCAATTTTCAGGAATCAGTAGCTAGTTACTTCCATTGGTGTATGAGCAGTTGATATTTTGGCTTTCTCTTTATTTTTTTATTTTTATTTTTTTTGAGACAAAGTCTCACTGTGTTGCCTGGGCTAGAGTGCCGTGGCATCAGCCTGGTTCATAGCAACCTCAAACTCATGGGCTCAAGCAATCCTGCCTCAGCCTCCTGAGTAGCTGGGACTACAGGCATGCACCACCATGCCCAGCTAATTTTTTCTATATATTTTTAGTTGGCCAATTAATTTCTTTCTATTTTTATTAGAGAGGGGTTCTCGCTCTTGCTCATGCTGGTTTCGAACAACTGACCGTGAGTGATCCACTGGCCTCGGCCTCTCAGAGTGCTAGGATTACAGGCGTGAGCAACCAAGCCTGGCCTTTGTGTTTATTTATTTATTTATTTTTTGAGACAGACTCTCACTTTGTAGCCCAGGCTAGAGTGAGTGCCGTGGCATCAGCCTAGCTCACAGCAAGCTCAATATCCTGGGCTCAAGAGATCCTACTGCCTTAGTCTCCTAAGTAGGGACTACAGGCATGTGCCACCATGCCCGGCTAAATTTTTGTATAAATATTTTTAGTTGGTCAATTAATTTCTTTCTATTTTTAGTAGAGACGTGGTTTTGCTCAGGTTGGTTTCAAACTCCTGACCTTGAGCGATCTGCCCACCTTGGCCTCCCAGAGTGCTAGGATTTTAGGTGTGAGCCACCATGCCTGGCCTTATTTTTTAATTTTATTTATCTACTTATTTACTTGACTTCCTTTTTTGTTTGTTTGTTTGTTTTGTTTTGAGATAGAGTCTCTATTGCCCAGGGTAGAGTGCTGTGGATGTCAGCCTAGCTCACAGCAGCAACCTCTAACTCCTAGGCTCAAACAATCCTACTGCCTCAGCCTCCCAAGTAGCTGGGACTACAAGCATATGCCACCATGCCCGGCTAATTTTTTCTATGTATTTTTAGTTGGCCAATTAATTTATTTCTATTTTTAGTAGAGACAGAGTCTCATTCTTGCTCAGGCTGGTTTGGAACTCCTGACCTTGAGCAATCTCCCCCGCCTAGGCCTCCCAGAGAGCTAGGATTACAGGCCTGAACCACCTCGCCTAGCCTTGCTTGACTTTCTTTGAGCAGGCTTTCTCTTTTTTAAAAAATCATGGCTCACACCTGTAATCCCAGCACCTTGGGAGACCAAGGCAGGAGGGTCACTTGAGGCCAGGAGTTGAGACCAGCCTGGGCAATATAGCAAGAACCCGTCTGTACAAAACAATAAATTAGCCAGGAGTGGTGGTGTGTACCTATAGTCCTGGCTACTTGGGAGGCTGAGGCAGGAGGATCACTTAAACCCAGGAGTTTGGAGTTACAGTGAGCTATGATCGTACCACTCTAGCTCCAGCTGCAGAATGAGATCCTACCTCTTAAAAAAAAACCTCATTATGAACTCATGGATTTTTATATATGGGGTATACTACTCAATAATCAAAATTAAGCAGAGGATCAACAGGGTCAGCTTTATGCTTTAGAAAAATAACTGTTGGAGATGAGATTAGATGTACAGAAACATAAGTTAAAAGATTGCTTTTCGGTCAAAATTACAAATGCATCTAAACTTTGATCCACAATTCCACTTCTAGGAATTTATCCTACCCATATAGTTACACGTGAGATAACTTAGATACAAGGTTATTTATAGTAGCATTGTTTATAATAACAAAAGACTGGAAACCATCTAAATACCCATCAGTGTCAATAAAGAACTAATAAAATTACATCACATCATACAATTAAATATTAAGCATTCATATCCAAGAGGTAGGATGGTTTTTACAGAAATGGAACAATCTTTCCAAAGGTACACTCAGTTAAAAAGAAGCTAGGTGCAAGACAGTGTATGTAGTTGCTATTTGAATTAAAAAGGGGAAAAGATGCAGTTGGCCCTCTGCATCCATGGAGTTAACCAACTACAAATGGAAAATATTCAGAAAAAAATTCATCTGTACTATGTACAGACTTTTTTCCCTTGTCATTATTCCCTAAATGATACAGTATAACAAGTATTTACATAGCATTTACATTGTATTAGGTGTTACAAGTAGTCTAGAGATGATTTCAAGGATGTGCATAGATAGGTTATATGCAAATACTATGCCATTTTATAGAAGGGGCTTGAGCATCTGAGGATTTTGGTATGCACAAGTTTACCAATGCCCATGTGTACCAAGGGACAATTGTATTTGCATATGAGTATAAATACATAAAATGTCTTAAACTGAAACCAAGAAACTGATTACTTGCTTGGGTGGCTGAGTGCCTAGAGACAGAGATGGAAGGGAGTCTTCACTTTATATTCTTTGGATCGTTTTTTGAGCTGGTCTCACTCTGTTGCCAAGGGTAGAGTACAGTGCCATCATCATAGCTCACTGTAACCTCAAACTCCTGGGCTTAAGCACTCCTGCCTCAGCCTCCCAACTAGTTGGGACTACAGACCAGTGCCACCATGCCCTGCTAATTTTTCTATTCTTTGTAGTGACAGGGTCTTTATGTGTTGCTTAGGCTGGTCTCCAACTCCTGGCCTCAATTGATCCTCCTGCCTCAGCCTCCCAAAGTGCTAGGATTACAGGCATGAGCCTATGCACTGGCTCTTTGTAGCTTTTGAATTTCGAACCATGTGAATGTCTTATTTAAAAAATAAATACAATTATTCATCTACAAAAGATTTTTAACACTGTGTAGGGTATAAAGTTAAAAAAATATTTTAAAAAGATTTTGCAATAGTTTAAGCCAAAGACAGCCTAATCAGGAATGAAGAGACAGATTTGTTCATTATAGGAGCTGGCCATCACAGAAACAGTAAGAGCTACCTAACCTGGCAATTTCAAATGGGGTGTTCTTAAAAATTAAAAAAAAATTAAAAAAAAGAGCTAGCTAAGACCTAAAAGAGGGGGTATACCCAATTCCACTCCCATCCCATCTCCACCCCTCCAATGGCCAAAAGACAGCACACCCTTAGCTTGTCTTATGGCTACTAAGGGGGTGGGATTACAGTGGAATAGGGTTGTCCCCTTTGTCCCTCTTATTAGGTCTTCCTAGCTCCTCTTATACTTAAATGTTTTGTGCAACCAAGGGAATTTTTAATGGGTGAGATTACTTGAGAAGTGAAAGTTGGATTACTCCACCCCTTACTGTCCATATTTATAAATCCCTGGATATGGGATTTATATCCCCATACTCTGGGGATGGATATGGGATTTATATCCCCATACTCCCCAAACTCTGGATATGGGGAGACCTGCGAAATTTATATGGCTTTAAATGCCTCAGGAAAGGACAGGAACTTGTTGCTTTCGTTCCTTCTCCACCACATCTCACCTCCCAGTGAGGGAACGAGGCAAAGCCTCTAACTAAGGTCGGGGATCAAGGCCCAGGCTCACTCTCAGGTTACAGCGTCCCCGCCCCAGGCCAGGCGGGTCTATCCCAGACTTTGCTAGCGGCAAAAGCCGAAGTCATTCTCTGAAGGCCGGCAGCGAGGATTTCTTTGTCTCCCAGTCTCTGTCTTGGGCTCAGACTGGGGTCGGGGTTGCTCCAAGTGCAGACTCTCGGGTCCAGCCTGGCTCTGCCCGCCACAGGCCCGGCAGTCTAGCAGGAAAGACAAGATTCCGTGCTTGGGAGCAACAACCGGGCGGGGCGCCCTCAACCTGGAGCTCCGGTCGGTCGAGGCCATGTGGGAACCCTCGGGCCGCGCAGGCGTCAATCTTTCCCAGACACCACCACTCCCATGAGGCCCTGCAGCGGCCGCAGACGTCCTCGCGCTCCGCCGGCTCCGGAGGGCTAGGGGACTCTCACCGCGCTGCATTGTGGAATACAGAGTCTAATAGAAGACCTAGCCCGTACGAACTCCCGTCTAAGCTCACGTGTTTACCTTGTGCACTGGGGTGGGGGCGTCAAAGAAGAGCAGCTACAACATTTCGTCATAAAACCGCGACCAGACAGGCGGCGCCATCTTCGAACTTGGACTTCCGGAAGGACTTTGGCGAGGGTGAGTATACCGCAGCGGGGTGTGCGGGGGTCCCCACGATTACTCCTCCTTCTTTTGCTGTAGCGCTAGGGTATTGGGAACCAACTCCCGGCTCCGGTCTTCTTCCTGCCACAGCAGCGCGCCCTCAGCCTTTGCGCTCCTACGGAACACCGTCATGCTCCCCACCTTCCCCACTGTGGCCACCGTGTATCCCCTGTCTGAGCAAGCCACGAGTCTTGTCCTCTTTCCCTCACGCGGAGTCCGTAAGGCGGCAGCCTGTGTTCTAGCCCTGGCGCTGCTTACATGGCTGCTTATATGAGTCCCTCAGACTCGGCGAACCTCATTCTTAGAAAACTTAGGGCTCCCCTCCCGTACAGGCTAGTGGCGAGAGCTGCCCCCACATTCAGGACTGAGGAAGAGGCGGCGGTGGCCCATGGAGTGGTAGTGAGTCAATCTCTTTCTGCTGTGTCTTAACCTCTATCCTCGGGGAGGCTAGCCTAACCCCGGGGTTGTGCCCCGCGCGCTACAACCCCATTGGCGCAGCCAAGGGCCAGTTATGTTTCCCTATCTAGTCTTTTTGTCCCGCAACAAGTTGGCTGGCTGTTGAGGGAGGCAGAGGTGGCAACTTCAACTCCGTGGGAGGCAACTCACTTGTTGGAGGGATGCAGGATATAACCAAACCTCTTGGCCCCAGAAGCTTATCGTTACACAAATTAAGTCAATCCTGTACCATTGTCACTATTTTTGACATCATGTCTTATCAGCTCTACTATTACTTTCTCAGTAGTTTTCTTTAAATTGACTTTTTTTTTTTTTTGAGACAGAGTCTTGTTCTGTTGCCCTGGCTAGAGTGCCATGGTTTTAGCCTAGCTCATAGCAACTACAAACTCCTGGGCTCAAGCAGTCCTCAGCCACTCAAGTAGCTGGGACTACAGGCGCGTGCCACCACACCCGGCTAATTTTTTCTATTTTTAGTAGAGATGGGGTCTCGCTCTTGCTCAGGCTGTTCTCCAACTCCTGACTTCAAGCGATCCTCCCTCTTCTGCCACCCAGAGTGCTAGGATTACAGGCGTGAGCCATCTAAATTGATTTATTTTAAAAGTTTAAATGCATTAGTGTAGATCTAAGCAATATGGATAAAACCATATTTTATGGTTTCATGTACTAGTTATAGTTTTCTATGCAAGTTGAAATAAAAACACAATTAGTTAAAAATGTTCATTTTTGTATCCTTAAAATCATGTTGCATACCACCAGCTGTATCATAGGAACACTTAGGGAAACAATGTATTAAACCAAGCAGTGTGTTTATAGTAAATCCATACTTGAGGTGCAGTGTTGTCTCATTATTTTTCCTTGGCTGGGGAGGTCAGGCTGGCAACTTGGTGCAGCAAGGGAACCATACAGGTTGGGGTGCAAATGTAAGATTTTATAAACTCTAGTATGAATTTACTAAACATCTCTTCCTATACTATGTCCAAAATTTATATTATAGAATTATAAATGGAAATTTACCACCACATCCTTCTGCCTTCCATGAAAAGTGAATCCTTAAAGGGATTTTTGTATCTTGAGGAGTCAGTTGTTCAACAAAGGTTAAAGGTTAATTGTTGTACTTACCATGTACCATGTCAGGATCAAATAGTGAATCAGACAGGCAAGATCCCTATCTTATGAAACTTTCAGGGAAGATAAATACTAAACAATACCCATATCTCCTACATATGAAAATTCCAGATGAACTAGAGCACCACATGTAACGATCAAAACTAGAAAAATTATTAGAAGAAAATAAGAGAGACTATATTTATATTGGTGGGATAGGAAATGCCTTCTTTTTTTTTTTTCAAAGTAGCGGATAAAGCGGGCCTGATCCAGGGTGCGCCCAGTGCGCAGCGGAGTACATTGCAGTCGGCCTGGGGGCGAGACTGATGTCGGCAGGGCGTGCGCTCCGGCGGCTCAGACTCCGGCCAGGTAGGCGCTTGTAAGACCCCCAAGCGGAACGAGCGGAGCAAGGCCTGGGGCCCTTCGGTGACCGCGGCGAGGCGGAGCCGTATGGCGCTCTGTGGTCGATGCTGCTGGTGGCTGGCTTGTTCGCTTTGTGGACTTGTTTGTTGTAGTGATTCACGCGCAGACATATAGCGTTTACTGGCTGCGACCAACTGAGCTTTCATGGTCGGTCTGTTGTGTTCTTGCGGCTCTTTGGATCGTCTCGATCTAGTCGTCAGGTCTGGCGCCACCTGGATCCTGGTCGTACATATTCACATCTCTCCATCTCAGTGAGCACCGGCTGGTCCTGGAGGAAGTTGAGAACCTCCTTTCTCCGATCTCCGCTTCCTTTGATCCTGCCGCGCAGAGCGTCCACGCGGATCCCCTGCTAGCCTTGGCGTCTGGCGGTGAGCCGCTGGTCACGCCACAGAGCAGCTGCGCGAGGTCGAATCCGAAGCCTCCGGAGCCTCTCCGGCTCACACTGTGCTTGTTTTCTTGAGCAGACTCGGGATCCGGGGATGAAGCGGAGCTTCCTCGGCCTGGGGTAAGTGAGGGTGGCCTTCCCAAATCACCTGCCCAGCCGCTACGTGGAGAGCTGTGCCAGCTCATCTACCCATAGCCCATCAAGCCGGTCATTTCAGCGTATTGCTCAGTGAAGCAGGGAGAATTACAGAGTTTCTTCAACCTCCAACAATATATGGATTCTGACTGGAAAGAATTTCAATCTCTGTGGATGAAACTGTAAACTTGCTTGCTGGCAGTTAGGATTGGATTAACCATGGGAGGTCTTGTAAGCATCCAAGTGGTTTATTTACTTTTGGAAATTGTGGGGGAAGAGCAGCGTCCTATGTCTGTGTCTCAGGCAGGAGGTAGGAGATGCCAGAAGAGAGCTGCCAGCTTCGGAGAAAGAACAGCAGAAGAAGAAACGGAAGAGGAAAAGGGGGGCAGAACCAGCCAGAACTGGCCTCTGCTCTATGCAGCCCGTGGTCAAGGGGTGCAGTCTTTAAATGCTTCGCGGTACGGGTTGGCTAGAAGGGATTGGTGGGAGAGAGGAAGAGGGAGATATAACAAAGTTGGTCCGGCAAGGTGAAAATGAAGAGGTGGATAAACAGGATTGAGAAGCTAGCATTTGGCTGGGGCACGGAATCAGCTGCCTGGCTTGGACAACCTCTTACCTTATACCTTTATAGGAAACAGAAAAACTGCCAGGGCAATCAGTAGCCCCTGGACTCCTGGAGAAATCCAGCTGGAAGGGAGTAGGCTGAACTTCGTGCTGAGGGCGCGAGCCAACGGAGGCTGAGCGGGCCTGAAACGCCAAGGAAAGGGGAACAAGAGGGGCCACCCTCCTCAGGCCTCCCCAGCAAGCTGGAGGAAACCCCCCTCAGGTATATTCCTTCCCTTTTATGACTTTTTACTTACATTTAATGCCCCAGCTAGGCTCCCCCATTGCAAAATAGCTTCTCCACTTCCATCTCACCTCTGCGGATCCCAGAGCTCAAATTCCTTTCCTGAACCCCATCATCTATCCCTATTTCTCCTTCTATCGTCTCCGTCTCCTGCTGTCCTCTGATGCGGTTCTGTTTTCTTTTTGGTTTTCTTTTTTTGAGAACAGAGTCTCTGTTGCCTGGGCCTAGAGTTTGTGGTGGTCAGCCTAACTCAAGCAACCTCAAACTCCTGGGCGGTCCAAGCATCCTTCCCCTGCTCACCTCCTGAGTACCTGGGGACTACGGATCCGCGTCACCAATCCCGGCTAATTTCTATATATTTTTCAGTTGGCGCAATTAATTGTTCCAATTTTTGTAAGTAGAACGGGGTTATCTCGCCTTTCCTCATGCTGGTTCGAACTCCTGACTTACTGATCCCCGCCTCGGCCCCTCCCTGAGTGCTAGGAAACAGGCGTGAGCCACCGCGGCGCCGTGCCTGGTTCGTTTCTTGATGCTTTTATGCGTAAGAGCAAATCTACCGGCCATTTGAAACCTACAGTGTCTTGAAATATGATCATTCTTTTCGGTGAGCGTCTTTCCTGAGTACACCAGGTCGAGGACCACACTAGTTTGAGAAACTTGTAAGAAACCAGAGCGACAACAGGTAGGAAGTGGGTTGGCTGCATGGCCAGAAAGAAGCCTAGAGGGTGGGCCTGGAAGAGGAGAGGTGCTCAGGCCATGAGACTGGAGGAAGGCATGTATTCGTCTTTGTTTCAGCTTCATCCATAAGTTTAAACTTGCTTGTCCTATTCGCTGTTTTGTAACGGGTTCCTACACGAAGGTTATGGATCAAGTTAGTCCCCCTTCTTTCAAATCTACCACAGTACCAGCAGCACAACTCCTTTGACCAGTATATGAGGTACGAACCCTGTGAAATTGTTGTAACTTTAAAGTCTGAGAGTCTTAAGTACTCAGTATGATATCGGATTGGAACTGTGGAAGGGATCTGTGGGAAAAAGTATGCACTCGGAAACTCTAGAAAGAAATGGGGAAAGTCTGTCAGTGAAGAAGTTCTTTATCAGGGCAGGTGGGCATAATGCTCAAGTCTTTGCAAGTATGTTGGACAACCATCCCATCAGCATCCATCCTGTGATCCACCAGCCAGGTGCGACTCGGCCTGCCAGTATCCAGGGCCCTGGATCAGTGGCCCAATGCCCCGGTGTATCGCCCTGACCTTCTCGTGCCTTGCCAGCAGGTATGCCCCGTCTGTTCTCTTCTTAATGCCCCAACCCCCCTTGGTAGCTTCATCTCACCCAGGGTCAATCTCTGGGGGAAAGAGGGAAGACTCCACCCTCGGAAACTTTCTCAGTAAGCCTTACCCCACCTGCCCTTGCAGAGACCTTTTAATTAGGAGTATTTTGCTGATCATTTGTGTACTCTATAGGTTGACCAGGATAATACACACCCATCCTCATGAGAACTCTCAAGGGATCTAGTGAATAAACTAAAACCTTACATCAGGATAGAGGACACCACTGCAGGTTACTCCACGTTACCCAGTACTTTCTTTGTTACTCATTTTCCTGCTCTTCGCTCCTACCCTATTTA